TGCAAACATTATTTTTTTTAGTTTTTAATATTACAATCCTTAAAACTTTTAATTGTTTTCCCATGATAGTCTTACCTTGATTTTATTTCCTTCCAGTAAATACTGTGCCATTGACTTTGTCATGGTCTCAAAGAAAAACCAGGAATACTGAAAGAAAGAAGATAGGAAGTTTGACTTGCTGAGAAATCACACTAGAGTTAATAAATGAATAGTTAATAAATAGAATTCAGGGTTTCTTATATGTCTATTAAATTACAACCTGACTTGCATATACAGTATTACATGCATATTAGATAGTTTTATACAGTAACATGACTAGACAACAAAACCATAATCTGTGTTGCAGTGACACCTGTTGGGGGATGAGAAAATAGCAGAGTCATAACCTCAACAGCTGTCTGATACTTGTTTTACATTGGAGTCCAATTAATTTCCAGTTCTAACACTGTCGAATTCTCCTGATCCTCATATATAATGTCTGTCCAGGTATTAAATATATGCTAGTGAAATCCATGTATATCACAAATAAAATTGGACATAATGTATCACAGATTAAACTATTGTAAAAAGATAAAGTGGTTTTATTCTTTATTCTATTTCAGGAGGGAGGCTGACAGACTGCAACAGAATCTATACACAGATACAAGTATGCTACCTGCCAAAACAACACAAGACTATAGTTTACATCCTGCAGAAAAACAATTTACAATTTACATAATGTGATAATTTTATGTTAATTGTTCACCCACAATCACCTCAAAATTAGTATGAGCCCCCACACTTATCTCTATTTTGTTTCAGTTATGTCTTATAACAATCATTAACTTTCTTTGACTGCAATTATCAAACAATTAGGGCTTTTGTCCTCAAACGTAAGGTGAACAAAATGCAGAGGGCACTTTCATAAATGCTACGTAACAGAAAGATATATGGGAACACTTCAGATTTTGTTTTTGATGTTCTACACAGCTAGCACTGAGGTCAAATTTAAAATTTGTAAAACAGATAAATATTTCTGACACAAAGACAGGAGACAAGAGAGTACATTTCTTCTACCTTCAGCAGCTTGTTAATGGTGAGGAAGTCAGCAGACTGCTTGAGAATGGCTGTCACTGCTGTGGCCAGGACTTCATGTGTTGTCATCGGATTTGAAGATGATGGCTTTTTCGTCACAAAGACATACTATGGCAGCAAATCAACACCGTATAAGTTTCTACGGATTTCAGTAAACATAAGTAGATGATATACCATATCTTAAATCTGAAAACACTCTAGCTTTTTATGCTTGAGGAAGGGGAAATATTTGCACTAGGAGGTTTTTGAACTTAGAAACAGTTTTCCATAGTCAGTGGATGCTCCTACTGGTGATATTCTCTGGGTCTGGCAACCCGTTGAAAAACTGTACTGTATACAGTATACAAATACAAATATACTGTATAAACCTACTGTAACATTCTAATACAAACTGTTTTATCATTTACTAGCACAAAGTAATTACAATTCAATAGAGGGGAACAACATATGATACAATGTTTTCTGTACTAGGAAAAGGCTTTATGTGGTTTCAGAAACTCTTAAAGTCTACAAGTGTTTGACGCGAGGTGTGATTCTTTGCATTTTGAAGTTGTTGAGCCAAATATGCAAACTGCTCTGAGACAGGGTATGATATGCCCAAGGGTATAACACAAGACAATAAACATATCCGCTTGCTTCCTTTTTCACCTGGTTTATTCCAGTTAAGCTAGACTCATTTTTAATTTAAGATTAAAGAGATACTGCACAATAGTCAGATGAAATTGTAGTTTGGCTGTTCATAAGGCGTAGGCATTCACTCTTTATTCTAGAACCAATCTATGTTGCTATTACCAGGATGCAAAACATTTGGTTAGGAAATATTTCAGAGAACAGTATTGAGAAATGTATCGCCTGTAACCTTAGGGTTGTTGGAGTCTGAAACATGCTAGGCAGCCATGTTGTTGAAGCCAATATTTTGGCAAAAGAAACAGCTGGATGAGATAATTGGATCAACAAACTATTAACTACCAAATGAGCTAGATGGACCAAATCCCCCCCTGTTACTTGTTATTTGTAACCTTCCTTGTGCTCTAATGCAAACCGTTTTTGGTCTATCAAAGAGTTGCTTTAAATGGTGGTCTACTGTATTCTCTCAAGCTTTGTGAAAGAACTGTAAGCTATCATGAACATCATGGACAACAGCATACCGTGCTTTTAGCACTTTATGATTTTGGGTATTTCAGCTTAAAAAATGGCCCAACGTGTAGATATAAGGACACAGTTTATGTTTTATATTATGACTTGCAGTCCTCATCAGATTCCACCAAAAATTATGAATTCAAAGCTTCATGATTTTGGAAAGCTATTGAAAAGGAGGGGGTTGTATGTCAAAATTCTAATGGCATATAAGAGAAAGGGTTAGACAATTTCAGCTTGGCTGTGCTGGAAACATGACATTTCTCATGAGAAATGTACTGTATTTTTCTATTTGTACACCAGAAAATGAACTCAGAATGTGAAAAAGTACACAGAAGCACTTTATGTCTATTGAATTAGGGGACTTATTCGTCTTCTTATAACTCTAAGTCTAATTCTTATGAATGTTTGTAGAGCACCTTAACACTGGTACGTATTTTTTTTTTCATCTGAAAACAAAGAAACAAAGAACAAACACTCCAGAATCCATCTATTAACTAGGGATTTTTCACTAGCAAATGGAACTCCGAAGAAACTCATATCTTCTGTCACTAAATTTGAATGCTTTTCAAAAATAAAAATTGAAAATAAAATGAAAATCAAAATTTCTTAGAAAAAAGACTTAGAAAAAAAAACAACTTAATTAATCATAAAGAAAACACATCCAGCAGTGCTTACCTTGAGAAAAGAGCGTAAGTAATGGTCCAAGCCTTCCTCATGGCATTTTGAAACAATGTGAATGATGACCCTGTAAATATACATTTATAAGCAATATGAATGATGCAAAAAAGTATTCCATACTCCAGGGTATATGAAATCTATTTATTAAATTCTCTACCAAATTTCAATGACCTGGTATTACACCAGAGGCAGATGACTCCAATTGATGGGAAACATTTGTTTATAGTTTTCATTCCTTCTCAGACTTTAACGACTTAATAACTGAATTCACGTCAGTTGTTTTTCAGTCTTAGATGGAAATTGAAAGTGTATCTAAAACTCAAAAACTTGATTTTTTGGTTTCTGCTTTCCTCTTGGCTCTTTTTCAGGGTACATCTGTCTAAAAGCAGATATTGTGATCTTCCCACTTAACAGCACACTCAACTAAACAGAAAACGGGTCATGCTGGCAACATTAACAGACCCATTGCCTTCTGGGAACTGTTATTTGCTACAGAAACGTGAGGAACTATCATCCTTGGAAATACTGGAAGAACACCTAAACCATGCCCCTTTTCCAAAACATGTACTGTACCATGTTTTGTTATAAAAAGTACATTCTTGAAGTTCTTGAAGCAGTTGGTGGGCATTCTGACTTCCAGAATATCTGCTATTGACCAACCTGGTAGAATTAACAGCTATTTCCTGGTGGTCCTTTGTCACCATGGTGAGGACCTGGAACAGCTGGATGAGAACTGTGGGGAGGAACTTGATGATGACCTGAGTCTCCATGGCATGAAGGCACTGTGGAAATGGTAATCATATATTCATAACGTTTATATACATTTATACATCTCTCTGTACATATAACATTCATAGCTCACAACCTCATCTTCACTGAACAATTGCCATGATTTTATTAAGTCAGCAAGCATCAGGTGCAAGGCAGGATACATCCTGGACAGGATGCCAGTCCATCACTTTCAGACACATTCACACCACACCATTATTCCCACAAGCCAATTAACCTACCAGCATGTCTTTGGACTGAGGGAGGAAACTTGGGCATTCAGAGGAAAACCATGCGGATACAGGGAGAACATATGATACAAACTCCACACTGACAGCCTCCCTTGTCTAGAATTTCACCCATGGTCCCAGCACTGAGAAGCAGCATTGCTAGCCACAGCAACACCATCCCGCTCTCTATAACTGACTGACTTTTTACTTTAGCAAAGTGATATCCATTTGCATTAATTCATACAGATGAATTTCATACAGACATGCTTTGCTCAAGGCTCAACAGCACTGCCCCAGCTGGGATCTGAACCCACTACCTTCCTGTTATGAGTCCAGAGCCCTGACCACTGCACTGACCTGTGAGTTAGTAAACAAGAATGCTAAAGAAAGAGATCATTTTCAGCACTGAAGCATGCAGTGTACAGTAGCTCAAGGGCTTCAACGTTGTCGTAAAGCTGTGGCATTACCTTTAAATACTTCACAAGTTCAGCTGGGCTCTCCTGTGGCCCTGACTGGAGCATCTGGCAGTGCTGGAAAAACTTATGCAAGTGAGTGTCCTGCAGACAAAAAAAAAACACTTTAGAAATAAATCCCAAGTTACACTGTTAGCAATAAACACCTCTCAGTTCTTTTTTGATTTTCCAATTCAATAAAAAAAAATTAAACAGTAGTCTCAGGTGACATTTGTAACATGCTCATGAGTGCAGTCCACTTTTGATTTTTCTGTTCATGTCTATTTTGTTTTGGTAGCAAAAGATTAAAGACGTAACTCAATTTTCATCACGTCTGGCCTATGTGAAAATAAACAGTAAAATACTGGATTAGAATTCTAAATATAACAAATACTGTATATACGCAGTCCTTTGTCTCTCCATATTCCAAACTGGCAAAATTCAAAAATTGAATTTTTAAACAACAAAAAAGACTATCTGAAGTCAGAGCAATACTCTTTTGGTTGTTCCTTCTATCCAACATGTGCATAAAACAAAAGGTTTCTTTGAAAGAGAAACCCCAAATGTGAAAGTATTGAAGACAGATGTACAGAGCTGGGAATAATACTTAAAAGCAAGGAAACATTTGATAAGAGCAACAAAGTAGGTACATACCTGAGTATAGATGGTGGAAACCACATTGGTTCTTACTTTAAACAGTGGTTTGGCATTATCAACCCATCTAATGTCCGGTGATGTCTGATTAAAGAAAAAGAAGAAAGTTTAATCCAGTAACACTGATGGCGCAGAGAGTTCAGTCAAACCACAGCTGCCCTTAGCTCAGAATACTGCTCTGTACTGAACCTTGGATTGCTCAGATCCTCTAAGGGGAGCTTAAAGAGTTTTTAATCCACACCCAAACTGCATTCTGAGGCAACCTGTTTTACTGATTGATTTACAGAAGCATTTGTTGTCAGAAAAGCTCTAATCCCGGAGAGCCGCATGTCCTTCATGATTAAAGGGAAAAGTTACCTCTAAAATGTAAGAGGGCAGTGATCAGGAAAATATGTGCATGTATATAGAATGAAGCAAATTTAGCTGGTTAAGTTAAGCCACATCTCACTTGATAAAACATGAAAACCACAAAGCTTCCCAGGACACATGACAAGGGCTGTTGACCTCCTGACTACAGGAATAGCCAATATACCCAGACTAGTTGTCCTGTTGTTTTAAGGTGGGTTTCTGGATTGCACATGCTGAAATGGAGGCTTAAAGAAGTAACGGAAAGACAGTTCTAAACAGAACTCCATACAAGTGGGTACTGTGTGACCATCAAGAGATTAAAGTGAAGTCTTCCTTCTCTTTTACCATTTTAATGATTCATCCATCCATTTTTTAACAGTTTTTTCCAAATCAGGGCTGTAGGGAAGCTAGAGCCTATCTCTGCACACAATGGGCACACCCTGAAGGGGACATCAGTCCATCACAGGGCAGACAAGGCACAAACTCTCTCATTTAGAGTTAGTTGTCCCAGTAACCAACTAACCTATCAGTATGTTTTTGTACTCTGGGAGTAGTGAACATGGGGAGAACATACAAACTCCACACAAATACTGTAGCTCCCCAGGTCTGGAATTGAACCAAGGGCCTCAGTACTCTGAGGCACCAATACTAACCACTGCACCACCATGCTGCTCTCTATTTTAACAACTTACAAATATTTATTTAGTCCAGTTGTTGATTTACTAGGAATTTTACTTCATTACCCCCTTGCTTACAAACTTATGAAAACTTCCCAGAAAAACAGGTTGGTTAAAAAAATATGCTACTCCTTCTAAATTTCATTTTGCTCCTGAAAGAGAGCACCCTGATTTCTTTTTTGCCGAATGCAAACAAAAAGATGAAAATGTCCTTCTTTTCACAATGCTGATGTGAACAGAAGGCTTCCTTATAATTAAATTTAATTCTGAAAAAATATCTAGAAGTTACCTGGTGTGCCAAAAGCCTAATGCAGCAATTTTCACAATATTTTATTTCATAAGGTATTTTTGAGGCTTTGTGACTGAGTGGAATTCTGGTTTGGAATGAGGTCAGAATGATTTTTTTTCCCCTCACATGCAGAATATGAGCCATCTGTGGGATTTTCCAGATACTGTATTTACCTACCTGGAGAATACTGTATGCGATGTTTGTGAGCAGCTGGTCATTTATGTACAGTTTGCTTTTGAGTGCTAGTGTCTGAATATATTCATTTGGAATCGATCCTTTCTTGCTGACATACATTCCTTTCTTTATATGGTGACACAAGCAGTACAAAAAACCCTCAAATGTATGTTTTTCGAGGTTCAGTGAATGAGTTCAGTGAATGCTGGTATTGCTCTACTAAGCTCTCCAGGGACATCTGTAATAAATTTATACCAAACCTGCTGAACTGCACTGTGATTTTGCGATCTCTACAGGGGCAAGGGGGTTAAACGCCTCACAGCTCATGGCTTCTGAGCTGGTTTCCAGACTGGGATATCTTCTTTGTGGAGATCTCATGTTCTTCCCGTGCATATGTTGGTTTCCTCCAGTTTCCTCCCACTGTGCAGACACATTGCTAGACTGATGGGCATCTTTAAATCTCTCCCCCTGTCTGTATTAGTGCGTGAGTTCCCAGGGATGGGCTGGCATTCTGTCCTGATCCTAACCCTGTCTCCCTGTGATTCTCTAAGGATAAAGTGGCTCCTGAGAATGAGAATGGGAAGACAGGGGGATGAACTATTTACACACCTTTCTTGAATCTCCACTCTTGTCACACAGGTAGCCTGCAGGCAGGTTAGCAGAGACAGGCAACTGCTGCTCTACTGAGCCGGCTCTGCCATCTCTCAGGAGTGGACACCAGGCGTAACCCACTGCCAATGGAGGACAAGAGAGTCAATCTCAGCACACATTTGCAGAACCCAGGAGAGATACTGTATAAACAACAGCAGAAACAAGACGTATTCATAGCTGTGTAAACACGCAACAGCAAAGTGACAGAGACACCTACAGAGGTGTTAGTGGGGTCAGCAGGGGGCACTCACCCTGCGGTCCATGTGGGTCCTAATGCCCCAATATAGTGACGCGGACACTATACCGTAAACAGGCGCCGTCCTTCGGATGAGACGTAAAACCGAGGTCTTGACTCTCTGTGGTCATTAAAAATCCCGGGGCATTTCTCGAAAAAAGTAGGTGTGTAACCCTACTGTAGTCCTGGCCAAATTTCCCATTGGCCCTTACCAATCATGGTCTCCTAATAATCTATAAATTGGCTTCATTAGTGTGCTCTCCTCCCCACTAATAGCTGATGTGTGGTGAGCATTCTGACGCACTATGGCTGCTGTCACATCACCCAGGTGGATGCTGCACATTGGTGGTGGTGGAGGGGATCCCCATTACCTGTAAAGCGCTTTGAGTCGAGTGTCCAGAAAAAGCGCTATATAAGTGTAAGCAATTATTATTACAGTCGAAGCACAGACACACTCTCCGAAGTGATTTCTGGCAAGTATGCAAGTGAGTCAAATGAGTAAAACACTGTGCTGGAAAATCAACTGTTATAGTCTTCTACACATCCCTGAAACACCGCCTATCACCTTTGATGAAAAAAAATCATTTACTCCTCATCTTGAATTCGAAACCTCAAATTATTTTCATATACCAAAAAAAATGCTTGGATGGGGATCAAATACTTGGATTTAATACCTAGGAGTGCAGTATACCTATAGTATGTAGTGGCACTTTGAATAGTTTTTAACCATTGCTAAACTCAAGTGCAGGGATACTGCAGATCCCCATACAGTGATTAATGCGCTCAGGGCCAGGAGTCACCACAACCAGAGGCAAGCCCTTACCCAGTGACTCAACCCCATCCCGCTTCTTGGTAGAGGTCTTAGAGTTGTATTCACAGCTGATATGGTAGAAGGTGAAGAGCACGTGGTGCTTCTCATGGAGGTGGATGGGCAGCTCAATTTTAATCTGGAAAGAAACATTGAGGACTTGTGAGGTTTGAACACCAGGGGGCAGGCCAGAGAAAGCAATTAGTCAGAAGATACAAACCTCAATTTTGTGAGTGTGATAACCTTACAGCATTGATTGGTATGTATGGCTTTAACCCAACTGAGAAATGACTGCCAAGGTACTGTATATGGATGAAGAAGCAGAAAGGCCTCTGTGCTTACCCCCAGAGGTGTAAGGCATTAGTCACAGCTCTGGGGATTGTGGAGGGGTGTTAGCATGCCATTCACTTTCAAATGCACTGATGCATTCTGTGGTTTAAAATATATTACCTATTAAATGTTTGCCTACAAAAAAATACAACAGCAGCTTTTGGTACAGTCTGTTTTTCTTGTCAGCCTGCAATGCCTCCTGCCCCATCCCCACCGAACACAAGGTTAGGGCTAGGGTTGGGTAAAAAAAAAAGTGATCCTGTGATTCACATTGATACAAACCCTAGAACATACATCAGAATGAAATAAATATATATAGGGATGGTAACAGAGGAAAAGAAAAGCCTCATTTGTATTTTTTCTGTACTGCTTACCTCATCGTAGAACTCTGGGTTCTGGTTATGATGCAACACAGCTGCAAAGGCACTGGTTGTAAACAGAGGGCCACCAGGTTTGTCGTAGATACACTGCAACATAAAACAGCTTTGATAGTCTTGTGTTATGGTAGAATTCAGTGTAGCTAAGACGTTCCTCAAACATCACTGATGTTACATAATTAACTCATATTAGGAATTAGGAAATCATTTTCTACTTCTTAAGTAATGGAATATTTTAGTAGTTGATAAAATAGCTTTAGAAACATGATACAGATTGTTTCTAATGCTATTTTATCAGCTACTAAAATCTTCCCTGAACCTACTGCTTTGGAAAACCATTTTCTTTTAACATTTGATCACTATCCATCCGTTTTCACACGGCTCTTCCTCAGATCAGCAATAGGCTTTCATTTGAAGGGGACACTATACTGTAAACAGGCGCCGTCCTTCGGATGAGACGTAAAACCGAGGTCCTGACTCTCTGCGGTCATTAAAAATCCCAGGGTGTTTCTCGAAAAGAGTAGGGGTGTACCCCGGCGTCCTGGCCACATTTCCCATCTGCCTTTATCAATTATGGCCTCCTAACAATCCCCCTCTATAAATTGGCTTAATTACTCTGCTCTCCTCCCCACTGATCGTTGATGTGTGGTGAGTGTTCTGGTGCACTATGGCTGCCGTCGCATCATCCAGGTGGATGCTGCACATTGGTGGTGGTGGAGGGGAGTCCCCATTACCTGTAAAGCGCTTTGAGTGGAGTGTCCAGAAAAGCGCTATTTAAATGTAAGCAATCATTATAATTATTATTATGGTATCAGTCAAGTGAAATGTCCTGAATAAATTACAGTACTAGGTACCGCTAGAAAGCAATGTGACAAGCTAATGTGCTCCCACTGTCATCACATTTTAAATCTCCACAATGAGTTGGTTCCTTCACAGAAACGAAACTGCATTTTTTATATAATATTCCATTTATTCCTTTTATATGACTAGCCCAACTGTGTAATTTTGTTGCAATTCAAACTGCAGTGTCTCTGGGTTCAGGCCTAAATTACTAGGATCTTTATTACAACTTGGTCACTAGGAATGAGGCCTATTACAATCCTCATGTAAGTACTAAAGCTGTAGCCAAAACACTTGCATCACCCCTGTCATTATCTACTCTACAACGTCATTATCTACAATGCTAGGGTGATGGTCCATACTACACTTTTTCAAACCATTAGAATAAGTTGGTATTTCAGGAGAATTACATTGCTTATTGTTCCATGTCACGTTATACATCTTATATGATATTGTATATACTGTACGAGACACTGCTCAGAAACCTCACTAACAATACTAATCCAATGCTGAAGAACGATTATTGGACAAATCCTGTTCTAAATCAAATTACAGGAAAATGTAAGAATGGCTACAAACTCAATTATTTGATACAGTAGGCATATACTGTGACATTTATCTTCACCAATTGAAAAACCTCTGAAAGATGAATGAGAGTTAATGATTTAGGGAAGTGTATCAGTAGTGCATTGCATATTACTGGGTGCATAATTCTACACCAGTGACCTTTATAGTTATAGAGATGTTAGCAGGACAAAGTCAGCACAAATAACAGGACAAGGAGAGGCAGTAAATCACTGTTTAAAAACCACAATTGAATTTGGGCCTGGCACAGTGAAACTTTCAAAACATTATCTGACGTCTGTGGGAGAACAGGTCGCTTCCAACTACTAGTATTTTATTAAAGAATCATGCTGTAATTCTGCAAAACAGAAAGAAGGCGTTTAAAAAATCTAATGATGACACTAATAAACTCTAAATAAAATCAGCAATGTGCTCTTCTGTCAGCTGGATCTTGAGTGCATTGAAGGCATGTGATGAAGATTCATAAGCAGAGTCCCATTTAACAAATAATACCTTTGTTGTTAAACATGTCACCCTGGACAGCACTGACAGCCTCAAACCACAGGAATGAACTTCTGCAAAGGCCATCAGCGGATGTGAAGCTGGTGTTCAGTTATATTGCATAAACTCAAATGCCCAGCAGAAATTAGTGACTGTGTGATCCATTGTTTTGTCTAAGGGTGTTCTTTACAGTTGACTGCCAAATGCAAATAATACAATAACTCACAGAAGTTCTTGTTGTACATTTTACACAGGGGTGCTTTTAATTAGTCCTGCTGCCTTAAATCTACTCCAAAAGTCATTAAGATATCCCTGTATTTCTTTATTTTTTCAATTCCATTTCAGATGCCAGACAAATGCAGAGCTTAAAGCTCTATTGATAAGTGATACTGGTCTGCTCCTGAGATTGTGTTCCCTGTTTCATCAACTAAAGGCATTCTGTTAAACCGATTATGTAAAAAGGAATACAAATGATATGAGGCCCATACAGTTCATTTGGTTGTTACTACCTAATTGATCCAAGGAACTGTTTCCTAAACAACAAGGCTGGGTAGTAAGTTCCACACTCCCACAACCCTTTGAAGTGCTTGTTCTAAGATTTAAAAGCAGAGGGCTTTAGAGGGCTTTAGAGGGCGTTCTACTTCTGTCCTGTTCCTAGTCTTTCTGGTGTGTCCGTTGTCTAGCCTATTTACTTCCTGTTTCTGCTCTGCTCCTTGCTCAGCATTGACGTTCATATGTCCTGAGACCTGCCTAGCACCAGGTCGCTGCTGTCCATGGCCTGAGGGCATAAGTTTCTATACGGCATTTTCTGAACAGCTGAGCCCGGGCTAACCCCCGTCTCGCTGCTACGCATAGGGTCTTTAATCGCTCTCCTGCCATTCCACGGTTCGTCCCTTCAGACATCTGTGATATTATGTTTGTGTTTTGGTGTTTATTCTGAAAGGGTTCACTGGCTCGGTTTTGTGTACTTAATGCAGTTTTCAAATGCAATTTTTACACATTTTATATACCTGCACTCACCTTCAAAGCCCCAGCTGCCTCTTCATCTGAGTCTCTGAACTCCACACACACGGCTATGTTCCTTGCCTAGGAAACAATCCCAAATATGAAGCAGAGAAGATTTTCAGACACATACTTGTATTTCAAAAGCAGAAAGCTTGTGAAATGACCGCCAGTTGTTAAAGTAAAAAACAGATAAATTATCAAAAGATATTTAACAAGAAGCGATACATGATAAAATATGAGTTGCAGACAAGAACAAAGCCTGAACAAGTAAAGGGAAAAATCATAATATAAATGGAAAAACAGGCAACGTGATTAAGCATGCTGCAACAACACTGCATGTCAAATACCCAATCTGAATGTTTGAAGGGGTACCTTGATTACATGTATCATCAACATCTTTTGAAATGAATGGGTGAAAAGGAAACACCCAAGTACTTGGTTCTCAGTCTAAGGCAACCAAGTCACCACTAGATTGGAAACAGAGAGCTATAAATCATGTATTTCACACCAACATAGAATATGAGACATCAGACCTTTAAGTCAGGCTCAGAAAGTTTCTTTCTACTCTGTCTTTCTGAGCCCTTAATAACCTAATTTAGCCAACCATATCTACTATGTATGTATGCCTTATTTGAAGCAGTGAGGTACTTTTCTCACTACTAAACTTGTAGTGAGGGGCTGGAACAAAATGGCTGTCATACCATTCACAGGAACTCAACTGCACTAATGGTGACTCAAGGGCCATCTACAGTATATCTAGATCCTACTACATGAAGAGTGCCACACACATGCAAGGTGCCTGCTTACTATTATTAAGACTATAAGAAACATTACAAAATTGAGGAGACTGATGGGCCCACACATTTTGTTTAGTAGTAGCTAATTGATTGGAAGCTCTCATCCAGCTATTTTCTTAAAAGAAGCCAGTGTATCTGCTTCAACAATATGACTGGGTACTGGGACTCAGTGAGTAACCTTTTATGGTAAAATGTAATAGCATAGAAACTTTTTGAAAAAAAAGTAATAGCATGTTCCAAAAAAAAGATTAGCCTCCCCATTAGAGAATCAAACTTCATGCAAAATGTTTAATTCTGCAAAAGGACCTTAATGCATCCTTACTCTATCCTTATGATTATTCACTGACTTCTGAAAACACCATTCCTGCATTATTTAGGCATTCCCCAGTAAACAATATTCTCTGTTGATCAGTCTTTTGTTGTTTTGTTTTCCAACTTTACAGACAACGTACTGTACCATATGATGTGTATGAAATAGTACAGCTCTCAATTTAACTTCCATTCAGTTATTAAAGCTAACTAGTTTGCACACAAAATAAATTGATTTAATAAGATATCAAGATTTCACTCCCCTTTGAATCTCTTCGCTCCTCAAAAGTGACATACCTTAGCAAATGTTTTTTGATTGTCGTATTTCAGTTGCAGGGGGTAAATGTAGAGATGGTTTTTGTAAATTGTGTACGGATAATTGTATTTTGCTTCTTCGGGAACAAATTCTTCAATTTCCACAGAGACTGTCTCACACTCTGGCTCAAAGGGCTTGAGAGGGATGTAGGACGTTGTCACAGAGTCTGAGGGAGGAAATAGAAATTTACTCAACACCTAATTCCAGATTCAATAAGATGGACCATAGTTTCCATACAGAGATAAAACACAAACGGAGAAGCCTGAAATGTGACCTACTTGGAAAATCAGGGGGTACACATTCAATGTTGATGTTTAACTGGCCAGGAATAATCTGGAGCTTTGTCTTCTCAGGCCTAAAAAGTGTTACAGAAGAAAAAAATGTTAAAGCAATTTGGCCAAAATTGTTAAACCATGTTGTAGTTTCATTTTCGCTAACATTACTGTTGGCAGAATTGCAAGTCAGATGCTCCGCTGAGGTTTAACACTAATCAACTTCATGCAAAGAAGCTTGAACGTTCAGTGAGATACACGCTGCTCTTGGGTTCTTTTTCCGTGGTAAGTGAATCAGCACTACAGGTGTTCACAAATAAGCCTGAAAGTGAAAGTGATCTTTGTTTTGTGGTTGGTGTGTCTTTTTCACCAGCTCATTTATCACTGGATTACAGTCTTGATCATTCTGAGTGAAAAAGATTACAGAGGCAATAAGAGGGAAAAGGAGGCAAAATAAAAAGTCTACAGAAGACCTCAGAAAAGCTTTCAGTTTGGATGTGAAAGAACAATTAGCCACATTGTGTAAAAAAAATAAAAAGCTTTGAATAAGGAGTCAGGTCAAGTACAGAGAAACAACCAAACCCCGTAATTATTATTATTAAATGCTGAGCTCTACAATGCAAAGTCCGTGACTCAAGCACTGAGGACCAAATGCATTAAGAAAGGCAGTTAAACACATGCTTTCCAGAGTTCTTACCCAATTGATTCAACAATAAATTGCACAACTGACAGCAGCAACTAACACATTTTCTGTTAGAATATGAGAAACTGCATAATTTTTACCTTATTTTTATTATGTTTTACAGGAATGACTAGAATTAATTTACTTGTTTAGCAAATGTCAGTTGACACTTCTAATTTGTGAGACATTTATCGGTCTTAAAATAAGTGTAATCCAGTTGAATATCAAGTCCTAGGAGTTTTATTAGTAGTGTGGCACTATTCACCGGGGCGGGTTCAACGTGGAAGCAGAGCCCAGAATGAAGGGAGACGTGTTGCCTTAGTAACCACAGCTGTTCTGGCTGCCTGAGGACGAGCCCCAGCTGTGAGGGCTCTTTAAAAGCACACTGGACACCCCCCGGAGGGACGAGCAGGGCGATCCCTGGCAGTCCCGGAGGGGATTGTACCAGCGTAAGGCCTTCTTTTCTTTTTTTTTGCCTGTCCCATCATGCATCTCTACCGGCTGACCCTTTTCACACGTCAAGTTTTATTTTGGTTTGGCTTTGCGTTCCCTGCTCATCCGGACTGGACCCCGTGAAATAGGGTAAGTCCAGTCTGGATGTCGCGGTGCACAGCGGCACATTTTTCTTTTTTCTTTTTGTTTGAGTTTTCACCTTTTTTGTGTTATTTTCGGTATTTGCCAACCTCACACCGGTGCTTCCATCCCTCAGCGAGGGGAGTTGACTTTTTACCAGTGCTCCCTGTGGCCCCTGCCACTCCCACAATGTTACAGCAGTGACAGGTGCTTAATTCTAAGTCTTTCCAAACTGTGGCCCAGGAGATATTTTTCCAAAGCAATATACTGAACAGCATACTGAAACTTAAAGGATACCAACAGTATTTTTTATGGGCTGGCCTTAAGGCAGTAAAAAGCAGATTCTTGTCATAATCTTTCCTAACATTATCACATAAAACTGACAATGTTCATTATTTATGAAATAAGATTAACTATTTTTACAATAAAGTGATACTTTTCCTGAAATGTGGCTAACTTCACATTTGAGTAATTGTAAAATCTGGGACCCCAACAACCATGATAATACGGTTTGTTGTAGACTATAACAAGGTCATGCACAGGTGCTAGGAGAGCGGGACGCAGGATTCATTGGTGAATCAAAAACAGGAATTCAACCATCCATTATACAAAGCTTCATTATCCTGTGATAGATCAAGGCACACTGGAAACCATCCTGGCATTATTTAATTAAAAAGCACAACGAAAAAAACAGTTTTGTAGCATTTACATGGTAAAACCCACATAAACTGGGGAGAGAATATGCAAAATCCACACAGGTTTCCTAGTTCAGAACCAGAGCACGTAGAAAATGGTCCATGAACGTAAAGTAACCCACTCACCATCCTTAACTGTAGCATTATTCTTACAATTTCACTTATCAGTCTGTAGCACATTTCGTATAACTCCAATTCGCCCAAACCAGTTTATTCAGGGTGAGCCCTGGGACAAATTAAATGTATACCAGAGAACAGAGTGTTCACAAAGAACTCAACTATCCATCTGTATTCTCAAGCCAATCAGTCATTGGTGCTGTGCATTTTCTAACTGCGAGACAACTGGAGTCTATCCAGGCAAGCAATGGGAGCAAGGCAGAGTACACCTTGAACAACAGTCTATTCCAGGGCACACAGACAGACAGGCACACACTCACATCTAGAAGCCAATTAACCTACTGTACCAGCATGTCTTTGGAAGAAACACCTGGAGGAAACCCACGTGAACACAGGGAGAACATTTAAAACTTCAAGCAGATAGCACCCCAGGCCTGGCAAGGAAGCAACACTAACCACTGCAGCACCGTTGTCCAGCCCACTCGCAATTAATTTAGGGGAAGGCCACAGACCCTGTTGTTGGGTTTCACTCACTTCTTGATATCCAGGAGAAATTTAATGAGATCCTCATTTGAAAGCTTGCTGCTGTCCTGTCGGTACAGAGGAGAGAACTTCCCATCCATGTCCAGGCTGCCCTGGGCATCTTTAAACACCTGTCTTAAAACAATTCAGGCAAACAGCTGTGTTGACAGGCATCTCAGGCAGGCTAAGTCAAATGTGCTGGATTTCAAGTGAAAGTTAATATCTGATAAAACAAATGTTTCTTGTTGCATGGAAAAATTCACTCTTTACTATCATTTATAGTCCTAAGAATCAGGAAAGATATCAAAGAACATTTCACGGGTTTAATTAATGATTAATTAATTTGATTTTATTCATTGTGCTAGCAGGTTTGGACTTTATTAAATAAACATTTATAATACTAAAAGAAAATCTCATTATACTGTAGCTGAACATTATTCTTTGGCAATCTTTGTGATTTAAATAAAAGCATAAACATCTGAATCTTAAAGCACTATCATTTTAGCCTACAAAACAAATCAAGGCATGATAACTTTCAAATCGCATCCGTAAGAGAACATGTGTTTCCAGCTTAAAGCTCATTTGTCCTTGGAGTAAGAAACTTGCAGATTGATTCCTAGAGCTTTTCATTCAATTTTCCTGAAGTATCTGAAAAAATCTATAAGGAGGCATTGTAGCTGTGGAAAGGGAATATTAATTTTGTTTTCTGCTTCACAAATTTTATTTACACTGTACTTTTGGGGAGAAATACTAAAGCGATATTAACAGCTTTGTAAAAGATTCTGAAAGTCATCATGACATTTTTTAAATGTGGGGTCACAACAATGTTGTAGCACCACATACATTACCGCAAAATGAGTCACAGATGTACTGTACATGAGTATCCCACAGAAAAATTAATTGCTTTCAATTTTTTGACGGTGGAAACTTTTGGCAGTAACAATTTGAAAAGAAAATCCTTACTTGGCAGCCCATGCGAAAGGCATTCTGTACTGCCCAAGCCTTGCACACGTCTGCTTGGCAGCCTTCAGTACTTTCTGAGCAGTCTAAAACAAAATAAAAGATAAAATATGAACATGCTGCATGGGAAAATATCAAGACTTGTAACTGCTTCAGAGAGGTAGCCTGCCTGTTGAAAACCGGTGGTTAAGAACTAGGTGTAGATATGTGTTCCAGTACCTGCTGAGAAATCACCTGCTCCCCAACTTTAATCTTATGAAAACACATACATTCAACAATCATTTGTTGTTTCTGCTCTTATTTATCCATGTGTGATGAATAACGTACTCATTGAAAGGCAACCTCAAGGTCAATTTTGAGTATATGCATTTTATAAATTCACTTACCTGTACAAGGTTCTATGTCATCAGTTTTGGAATTCAGAGGGGTAAAAGTATATGATTTTATCCTTCCTGCATTACAAAATAATTCTAAGGCTCTGTCATCTTAATTTCAGAAAACTGTCCTAGCAAAATTACAACAAAGTTTTAGATGGAGGTCTCTTGTAGTGAGCATTGTTTTGCCTGTAAAAAATTGACACCTGGTGACTTTCTTGGATTATTCACAGCAGAGTTAGGAGAAATAATGTAAGTTTGGAAAGGTAAATCATGTAGGAAGAACCTTATCTGGTGGTTTCACAGTACCTCCTGGGTGCACAGGCTGACTTAGTGCCTGAAGATTTAAACACCTTCTGAAATTGCCACTTTTCCAATATTAAGAGTGAAGAGTCTTCAGGCTTGTTATTACAAAGTTTTTTAAGAGTTTCTAAGAAACAAAGGTCCCAAAGCACTCTGGTGTCCTTGGTGTCGCCAAAAGAATGGGATGGACATCAGCACTCAAGGCATCTCCCCATAGCATTCAACCAGATGCAAGTTTAGATGAGCACTGAGATGGGGTATATTAAAATTAGTAGCAATATAAAGTTTCTTCGCAATAGAAATCTTGACACAACCAGAGGAAACATAACCAGCTTCATAGATTAGTCTTAGTTCCCAAAAGAGAACCTAGAACAACATGAACAGGTGCCCTCACCTGGGTGTGATGCTCTGACACAACACAGCTCTTTCACACAATTCCGGAGCAAAGACGCAGACAGGAAAGATTGCTGATGACCCCAGGTTACCACTTGTTTCATAAACTTCCTTCAGGAAGATGCTACTGGTCTTTCAAAACCACTCGGTAGTTGAACAGCTTCTTTCTTAGGGCTGGCTTTTTGCTTAAAGATGTCCAATGGCTTGTTGTGAATGGTACAGTAGAATGTTTTGCAGCACCAAGTGCACCAGAGTAAATTCCTTGAACATGAAATGGACTTGGCGAACAAAAGGGGATTCGGATTCTGGATTCGCCCGACTCCAAACTGACCTTGTTCACATCGGACGTCTTGATGTATGGCTCAGCACAATGAGTGATCCCATTCTGCAGCACCTTCTCTATTCTTGCCACCAGGAAAATGTCGGCATGGGGGTTTGTGACGGAGAAAATCCCCTGGGAAAGGGAGGGAGAAAAAGTGTCATCCCTACGCAAATTACCGTTGCAACATCCTGCAGATTTTGATATTCCCAAACCTAAAACATCTGTTCCTTATTAAAAGAGTGCGACTGGGCTTCTGGTTTTCCCCCAGGTTTTACGTTCTTAAAACTACATTTAAACAAATAGGAATCGCTTAAAATGGAACTGTTGAAAATTGGTCAGTTGGAAGAGGTTCTAATCATTTACTTTCAATGTATCATTTTCCACCCCGATCCCCGATTTGATAAGAGTAAAATGCTTCCTTGACATCACCCAAAAGCCACATGTTACATGTAATATTTATTGATCGCCATATGCAACCTCTGGGCAGAATGTCTGTAAATATCGTTCTCCTGAATTTTTAAACTCATTAAAATCATTTAAAAAGTATTTTTTTTGTGCAAAAAAAACATCACCAAACTCCCTCATGTCCAGAGCTGATTCTGACGGTCTCAAAAAGAAAACACAATGATAAACATCAGTTCTAGTTCCCACACATGCGGAATCCATGCAGGACACCTTGAAGAGAGCACAGTCAACTGTAAGAAACGTCATCTGCATTACCTCACTGCTAAAGGTGCCCTAACAGCATTCATTATTTTCAATACATCCAATGGATTACTGGGACCTGACGAATAACCTGATGAGTTAGTATGACTACAGATCTTTGAGCACTGATTGTCTACACAGGTTGCATGACAATCAAGCAAACTATCAGATGAACTTTTTGCACTGAACTGCACTTTTTTACAAGGTACTGCACATGCATACAGTATTTCTTTATGGATGTGCTACTGCTTGAAGGATTAATTCCAGTAAGCTACATTATGTTTTTAATTTCAGAGCTAAAAGGAAGTTTGTCATTAATGGTGCTATTTACTGCAGGTATGAGCATCCAAATGGTAAGTAATTAAGCTAATGGAATGGGATCTGATGGAGATACTTCAGCACAGACACAAGGCATCTACCCATAGTATTGAACCAAATGTACTGTAAAGTACTGCAGGTGAACTTGGTTGCCATTATCATTCACAGTAGGTTTTACATTTATACTGTATACTGCTGGGTTTTAATGAGAGTGCATTTATATCAGCAGTGGGTTATCTGTACCCTTTATGTTAAAAATGGAAAAGGAAAATAATGCATGAGCATTACTGAATAACAATCAAACAGAATGTTTTCCTGAGTCACGTCAGATCATAATTTCATTGTATACACACTACTGAACTCCAACTTGCATGAGAATATTAGCATTACAGGGACTCCTGAGTGTTTCAATGGGTTATGGATGGAAGTACATGGGACCTAATACCAGTAAAATCACATAGGATCCCAGAGGCTGATAATCCCAGAGAGAAAGTTTCAAATCAGAGTGAGACTTGGCAGTATGTGGGTTGTATCACTGCTTGATATATGCAATAAGAAGCTACAAATAGTAAAGAATATACACAAACCAAATATTTATGTTACATAGAGTACACAAATCAGATAAAGGACTATTAAAATCACTTTACAATGTCAAATTAGAATAAGATGCAAGTGCACTAAAGTTAAAATAAGTAGTCTTATTTCACATAAATTAAACTGGAACTCAAACTCTTGATTGAAAATTGATTAATTACATCATTGTTGAAGGTTTGAGCCCTGATGCAGGTTGACTTCAAGTTATTCACTTATTGTGGGTGGTTAAATTGTACTTCTTTTCTGATTACATAAAACACTGTCACTGCCTTATTTATAGTGGACCATGGACATTATGACAGCTCCACTGTGTGAAAAGAAGAAGGTTTTACATTATGTTTTTCCAGATTTTATTTTAATGTGTACCCTAATTACAGTTACTACAAGATAAACAATTTCCAGACAATAATAACCAATCTTACGTATAGGGATCTAATATCAGCAACTGAATTGGTATATTTTTATAATGTTTTTAAAATCTGCTGACTAACGTCAGATTGTTTTTGACCAAGAATGTCACTAAGGTGAAGTTTGCATCATCTTAAAATGGCTTATACTGTAAGTTAGTTCCTTTGTGCCACTATTAATTTTTGACATTTTACTTACAATGCATTAAACTCCAAAAGTATTACATAACGTAATGGTCAACTGTATATTTTTGGAAATGATACATGCAACAGTAGACATAATACTTTCCACACTAAACAGCAAATTCGAATGCCAAACAGTCAAGTAATCATTGCTCAGTTCTAAAATACAGTACACCAGGGTTTAATTAGTGTGGCTTGTATTGCCAATTACTCTCACTACTGAAAGAGCTATGGATTAATAACAGGTGTGTCTGCCCTTTGTAGTGAATATGGGCAGCACATTATTGATGCATAGAGTGAAAGCTATGTCAGATTTTGCTGAAACTCTGGTATACAGTAGTGGGACCTCAAACAGTAGTTGTGGTGACCTCTCAAGAGCTGTTGTTTGAATTTGTGGATTATATTTGGAATAAGGGTGCACCAAAACAGTGTTTAAATGTGATTCAGTGCCAGACCTGCTGGAGAATGCCTTGTAACCGAGTGTGTGGTCTGGCACTATCTTAAATTTTAAATACAACATGTCCCAGCTAGAACCTAGAAGTGCCCAGCCCATTTCCTGCCTCCTCAACTGAATAAGTGCCTGAAACAGTGCCCCAAAGGCTACAGTCACGCGCACTTTAAACTTGAAAATTATATAAATTCAAATATTTCTTGTGAAAAACACATTTCTGTTTTTAAGTTAATATCGCTTAAGTGTCAGATTTATAAATGATACCTGAAATTCTATTTTTAAAATATATAAAATTATTATTATTACATTTTTCCAATCTGCAAAAAAAATAGGCATTTTTTTAATTACCAATGGCATTAACGAAAAGTTTCATTTGAGACATGAAAAGTCTCCTCCAAAGGTCAAATTCAAACATTCCTGCACACACCCTAGTGTGTTCTGACAGGATAGGGAATGTTGGCATATTCATATACTACAACAAATAAGTCTTAAGGGACAGCTAATTTTTCAAACGGATACCACAGTGCTATTGCTGTACGTTAATGCAATTGCCTCAAAATACAAACACACAAAATGTCACAGTCAAGGCATACATTGAAGAGCATTGTTAGAAAGCAGTCACCAGTGTTTAGACAACAGTGCGGTTGTGACTGGCAATGTGCCCAGGATAGGCTACATTTATCTGCACTTTCCAAAATCAACAGAACAGTCTACTATTGTTGTTCAAAAAAACACAAATGCACTTGAAAAGTATGGTCTTGAACATTATTGCCTTTTTTAAACCCATGACTTTTCAATTTCTTTCGATTTGACTGGTCTGCTGATCTTCATATGACCTCCCAAGAGAATGATCAAATTGTAGAAATAAATCACAATTTTTTAAAAAAATGTACACTTCTTGAAAAAGTGCTGAAGGGATCTACTGTAGAATATTTTGTGGAGAAATGATCATTTGCTTTGGTTTATTTTTGATGCATGATGAATACTTTACTGTTGCATAATATTACATTAAACATTTTAGAATGGAAGCTAACTGTTATCTGCCAAATCAACAAAGAAATATTGGAAACATTCAGAATTTTTTTACTTTTAACTCTGACTTGGAATTTCCTTCAGTTTGGAAAGAAATAAGTTAAGAGGATTCACAACTCTTAGCTGTGACACCTGAGTAAATCCTGGGGCTAGGATGGACTCTCATCTTTCAGAGATCAGGAGATTGGAAAAAAAATAATTTGAACCGCTTTTTGAACCGGAGTTAAATCTTCTCCACAGCTGAGGCAATTCCACACTGGAACAAACTTCTTTGTGACACTTTTGGCTTGTCTATGCTGTGATGAGCCTTTATTTTAATGAAGAACAATCGAAGGTGGCACAGTAATGCAGTGGTTAGCATTGCTCCCTCGCAGCCCTGGGTTTAATTCCTTGAGTGCTATCTATGTGGAGATTTTATGTTCTCCTCATGTTAACATGGGTTTCCTCCAGGTGCTTCTGTTTTCTCACACAGTCGAAAGACTGGGGTAGCTTATTGGCCTTTAGGAAAACTGGCCCTGGTGTAATTGTGTGCATGTTTGTGTCTGTGTTGGACTGGCATCTGTTCTGCCTTGTTGCTTGCTGGGATAGGCTCTGTCTTCCCTCTGGCAGAGTCTAGGTATAAAGAGTAATAGAACTGCTCTTGGTTGCTCTGTCAGATTTTTTTAAAAGCTCAGCTACTGTACCTTTTTCAGCTAGACTGAAATCCATCAGCCCTCCAGTGCAATTCCAGCAGTGGTTTACAACATTCAAACCAGAGAGATCCAGCCTTTTGGGACTTATAAGACTATCCAATCACTGGTAACAGATTATATTCATTTGGGCTGCTTCAACCAAATCACTGTTCAACGATCTGGACGTTTGGTCTGAATCCAAGTGAAGACAACTCGGTAGTTTCCAGGCTAGAGACCCGTGGACTCCTGCAGAGTTTTCAAGAAATTAAATCCATTCATAAATAGAATACTGCTTTTTCCTGGTAAGGGTCACAGTAACTCAGAGCCTAGATATAACTACATCCTTGCTGATCACAGTTAACCTGTAGAAAACACACACAAACAACAACGAAAAATTGTTAGGCACCACCTTTATTGAACAGTCCGGCAAAAGCAGGATATACCTGTCTGGGGAACTGGAGCAGCGACTCGGTCACTCTCTGAAGGACAGGCAGGGTGGCTGAAATGCCTCCTGGTTCCTGTTCTCTGCCAGCCTGGTCCAGGGTCTCAGACAGCATCTCTCGCACGCAGGGAGGGTTCAGATCCACATGAAAGTCTGCTGATATTTTGCAATTTTTTGCGACATCAAACAGCGCGAGACTGATAAAGAAGGGTTCCACCTTGAACACATACAAAGAAGAAAAACAAGGACCTCACACCTCATTTCAATTCATTTACGTACAGTACATTAGACTTTTTATTTGATAAAGATTGCAGTTGGATGCCGTTATTGCTTGTGAAAAACAATAGTATTTAGTGTGTGTTAGAGCTGTAATGCTATTATTTTTTTCCATGCTGTCTGAATGCAAGATTTAACAGAAAAAAATGGATACCTCTCAACACCATCTTTCTTACTAGCCACATCAGAGATAATAGAGCAAATGATATGGAATATACTTTTTTTCTACTTTATATCCTCTGACAACATTGAGGCACTGCAAGTGTTAAACTGAAAACCAAAGTGGACTAAAATATTAATCACACTGGACATGAGCTACTGTTGTGAACAGACTTGTTCAAGAAAAACGCCGGTGCTTCTTGCCAAGAGTACCCTTTCATTCTGAATTTCCTGTTAGTCACTATCATTGTCAATGAATTTCCCTTTCTATATATGGTCATGACTATCTAACAAATAGACACAAAGTTAAGATGATGTTTTATATAATAAATTATTGATAGAACCATGCATATGGATGCATTAGCAGATTCTAACTTTAGTGCAATAGTTTAGTGTATTTTTAAAATAAATGTTATGATAAATTGAACAATGGTGCATTATGACAATGCAACATTCATTCAATGGTACAATAAGTTAAAGAAAAATGTTAAATTGCCACAAAATATAGTAAATGTAATGTATTATCAGCAGACAAGGTTTTTTCTATGTGTTTACATTATTACACAAATGAGCTGTTAATTTCTATAAGATTTACCAGGATTAAGAATGAAACATGATGATGTGACACGTACAGTATGTCAGCTTATGTCATGGTTTCCAAAGATCCTTAAAATTCGAAGTCAGATACTCTTCATGCAACCTGCCAGACTACAAAGTTAGAAAGTGAAAATCACCCCCAGCTGCATGTGTGGCTAATTAACTCTGCAGCTTTGTATGAACCTGAAATGTGAAAAGGTTAATGTTTTTAAATCCATCCACTTTCTATTTAGAAAATACCCCAGCAGGCACAGAGACCTAGGTGGACAAGACACACATGCAGTCATTCTCAATCTGCCCCTTCAGCTGGAAAGTTGCTGGTTCATATCCCACGGCTGGCAGGGGAATCCTACTCTGTTGGGCCCCCGAGCAAGGCCCTTAACCCCAGCTGCTCCAGGGGCGCCATATAAATGGCTGACCCTCCGCTCTGACCCCAAGCTTCTCTCTCCCCCTCTGTGTGCCTGTATGTCTCATGAAGAGCAATCTGGGGTATGCAAAAAGACAAATTCCTAATCCTAATTTGTCTATGGCTAATAAAGTGATCTTATTTTATAAATGCACATAGGGACGATTTGGAGATGCCAAGTAACATGTCTTTGGACTGTGAATGGATGCCATGGTAGTGGGAGAAATCTCCCACAGAGCAAACCCTACTCAGAAGGTGTTCTGGTCTGGAATCAAACCCCAGACCCAAGAGCTGTGATGTGGCAGCACTGCTACACCAACTTGTTTTTAAATCATAACTACAAAATACAGTACTATATTACTAACAGATTTTTTTCTTCTCCCCTTTTCATTTTGGAGTACGGTGTTACTGAAATACTGCAATGTGTCCTTCTTATAACATCAACCCAGCTTCAGTAAATAACTGTACTTCCCACACTATGTATGTTAGTTGCAGCCATTTGTACAGTATAATGTTACATTGTACACAATGCAAATATTTTATCTATTTCACTTGGGGTCACATCTTGCTTCTTTATTACAAAAACACAGCTTACCGACTGCTCTTTTACCAGTGATGAAAGGTAATAAGCATTTAGTTAGCATTTACACAGGTGTTGTTCTGCTAGACTAGTATAAAACATGTGGTTTATGGGTGGCTCCTGAAATAAAGCATTATCAAGAAATGCATTTTATTCTGAGGAAGTCAGAGTGCTTACAATTGCTAACAAAAAGTCAACAGGATGACTGCTTTTCAGTCTTTGGGAAAACTAGTTTATCCTGCAGAACTGGAGATAAGCCTGCTTATTTTTTTTGTGCGTCACTGTAGTTTAATAAACACAATATCTGATAAAACAGAAGTGCTTCACTTAGCCAAAACAAATAACCCAGGGGCTCAGAGGTACTGTACAGTGGTAATCTAATCAAGTCTCAATGAAGGCCAAAGCTGAGGTATCATGTTAACCCTGTCTGAGAAGGCAGCGGAGATGGTACATGTTTGTCATAAGATAATGTTTTTACCCTTATAAAAACATCATAATAATTCTTTATACTTATACAGCTTTTTTGTGACACTCAAAGTGCTTTACAGGTAATGGGGTCTCCCCTCCAACACTGTAGCTCCCTGGATGATGTGACCACAGCCAAAGTGCACACAGTCCACGTACCCGGACAGTCAACTAACATCCCTACTCTTTTTAAGAAACGGCCTGGGATTTTCAACAACCACAGAGAGACGGGACTTCAGTTTTACCTCTCCTCTGAAGGACAATACCTTTTTTACTGTATAGTGTCCCCATCACTATACTAAGGCATTAGGTCCCACACAGACTGCTGGGTGAGATTCCCTGACTGGTCCTAGTAACACCTCTTCCAGCAGCACCTTTAGCTTTCCCAGGAGGTCTCCCATCCAGGTACTGGACAGGCTCACACCTGAGTAGCTTCAGTGAGTTGCCATAAGGTAAGTTACAAACAAAAAGGGGCCACAGCTCATTCCATCTTGTCTGGTTTCCAGAAACTATTTAATTCACAGATCTCATTCAGTCATTTCTTCAAAGAAGCCTCAACAACATGTCTGTAACTGTGTTCCAGACCCCCACAACCCCATTTGTAAACAGTTATTCCCGTTTTCAGCTTTAACTGTACTTCCCTGTAGTCTTCTACTTGTGTCCTCTGGTTTGCATTTCACTGTTGATTTCAAATAAATCCATTGGTTAGGCTTTGTCAAAGCCTTTAAATATTATGATATACAAATCATTTTGGCTTGTAGTATTCTTAAGTTAAGAATAAAAAAAATCCTTCTTTTCAGCATGTCTGTGATTCCTTTGAGGAATCTACTTGGTCTGTCTTCTTCGGAGTGTTGCCAGAGTAACAATATCTTTTAACCAAATCTGCACACAATATTCTTTAAATGACGTCTTACTGATTTATTTTACAATTTGAACATTACGGCTTTTGATTTAAACTCGGTATATCCTACCATTCTGTTTACAACTCTGCCAAGCTGTCTAGTGAAGGAAAACATAGGTAAACATAAACAGCTGAGTCTTTGTCTGAGTCCACTGGTGACACAGAATAAAACAAAGCAGAAAAAAACTAACTATAATTATGTTATGCATCACACTTGTAACTACAATATATTACATACTGTATGATGGCTACTAAAATCATTCACATTGAATCAGTACAGTACTTTCTAAATCTGTACTATTTCTTTACACATTCCCGTGCCTTTTTTAATTGTTATTATGAATTAGTGCTTTCTTGACGTCGCTGCATTGATGTTTATCTCATACTGTACATTATTGCCCTGTCTAGGTTCCAATATGGCCTTATAAGAGACTGCACTTCCATGACTAGTCTTGGACTAGAGTTCTTTCCATTGAGGAGTATGGAATTGTTCCACCATGTCTAATATCACTGACACAAAATATCTAATGAACACAGTTCACAGACCTAATCTCACCTGAAACATGTCTCTTTTCAACAGAGATCCCACAGTAAAATACAATGAGTGTTCTAAGGGGACAAACACAGCATTTCCAGAAGCCAGCAAATTTTCCCTAGATACTGTGTACACTTTCCAAGGACTGACCAGGGAGACCCCTTGCTGAGCATGTAAGATCCGATGAAATCAGGGTTCAGGATTGGTAAATCTGTTGGCTAAACCTGGAACAACGTCGATTTCTTTCAACTTTTCTGATATCAGTTATTGAATATATTTATTGGTTCTGAGATTTAAAGCAGTAAGATCCCACCATAGTGTTCAATAATACAAATGCAGATTTTTGCTCATTTAAGCAAGCAGACATACTAAACAGAGTGTTAAGACTCACATACGTTTGTTGGCACCGCATCATTTTTTTCATTCACACAGCCTTGCAGGGCGAATGTTAAATCATGGCAATTGACCAAAATCCGTCGGCCAAACTTCTCCTCAAAGGGCTTCACATCCGGTTCGATTCCTGAGAAGTCCAGTCTCTGCAGTAGAACAAAGTCGACATAATTTCTCCATTAAGTTTTAAATTGTCTTCCTCCCTTGGGTCCAGATTGAACAACACACTAGCTGCCTTAACTACTGTTAACAGTGCTGGTTTTTGCATTTGACTTTTTCATAATTCCGTTTTTGAGTAAGAAAAGTATTGTAGCCTTTTTGTATCCAATTTGATTTGTACAAATGAATCTGAGGAATGCTGCAAATAGACTGTAGAAAAAATTCAAAGAGGACATCTTAAAATGCCAAGTAATAAGAAAATTCACAATTGCTGAAACTGCATAACCCATAATCCCAGATTGAAAGGAGATCGTCAAAAACCTATAATAAGGAATTTCAGCTCTTCTCCTGGTTTCTGGTTTTATTCCAGCCCAGCTAATTAATTGAAGCCAAGATTATACAAATTCAATTTTGAAATGAGCAATGTTCCTTATTTAAGTTTTTTCACTGTATTTATTTTGAGTTGAAATGCTGATTTCAAGTAAAATCTAACATTTTATTGGTACTCTGAAATGTCCAGCTGTTTGAAAAGTTCTCAATAAGCAAATAGCCTGTTTAATCATGGGTCCAGCTGAGTAAGAAAGAACTCAGTTGGAATGAAGCTCTCTGAACGGCACAATATCACATGCGCCTGTGGAGCACCCTGGCAATGAACTGGACGCAAAACTGGAAAAACTACAGGAGGGCAAAAATGGCATTGCGGTGGGAACTTATTAGGATAAAACATGTGTTACTAACTACAGGAATCACAATTAATTTCACATGGTCACATGATGACTTTATCAAACCTAATTTTTCCATTTCCATTTTCTGAAGAATTGTTTTAATTTCTGAATTCGGATAAACTAAAAAACACTTCAGGCAGCCTCAACCAGAAGAAAGAGATTCTGCAGGTGTACAAAAACCTAGCAATAAAAGACATTGTGCACAGCAAAAAGTCTGATTATTTGTTACATTGCTCTTTGAACCTTCAAGTGCATTATATGACTGTAAGCACCATTTGTTTTTCAGGTGAAGTCAAATGAAAGAACACTTAACCTGTGTTTCAGGATCCAGTGCGAACAGCTTGTGTCGGCCATCGTTCCTGTTAATTTTATTAAGTTGATCTGTTTCTCTGGCGTACTGAAAGACAAAATGGCAAAACTCTTTGAACATCTCGGCCCTACTACTTTGCTGCATTGATCCTATTCATGCAAACAATTCAAATTCTGGTCAACCTAAGGCTGTTGCCTATTATAATATAAGATAGGCTTACAGTTCCTGTTAGCAGTTTCTGCTAATAATATCTGCTGGGCAGAAATTGTTCCTGTGGTCTTTACATGAAGAAAACATATTCATGTGAAGAAAACAGTGCTACTTTGCAGTCTTGTCTTTATGGTGGTAATGAGTAATACAACTATATAAAAACATCATGAAGCATATACTGTACATGCATTATATACTGCAGGAGATTTAAAGAGATGAACTGTATAGGAAAAAAACAATATTGTGAGATTGTCAAACCCAGTGACACAATACAGGAAACGGGACAGAAAGCAAGAGTGATGATCCAGGGCTCTTTTCTGCCAAGGTCTCTTACTCATGCCAAGTCTCTCTGAGTCAGTGCAACTACTGCAGGAATTCCCAGATTCTTATTTCCTTCATTCCTGGAATGATTGCTTCCTTTCCTCTGCTTTTTTTAGGCTGTGATTCACCCTTATGGAATAGGGAAGCTGATTTTCGCGTTTTAGGTGGCACCGCGGAGACAGGACGCTCTGTCGTACCTTCATCAGCTCGGGGTGCATGCTCCGGCCCAGGCTCTCCATCAAGCTTTCCGATTTCCCCTGGCTGCTGACTTCGTCATCTGCGCGTTAAACAGAAACAGACGGCCATGATGACGGGAACCTCGCGTTTCCCCAGAAAAAAAAACCTCTCAAAAGGCGTCACCATTATTAAAAGCTTTTTTCTCCTGTTCTTTCTGTTTATTTTCTCCCTTTCCCGTATTTAAACTCTGTAGAAAAAGCTTGGGGCGACACTAGAAACAAACCAAACACAAATAAGATTTCTTCTTGAATGCTTAGGTCTTAAATATACTGTGCTAAAAACAAATAGCAAGAACTAACTTGAGGTTACAGCATTAACACTTAATTAGAGTAAAGGAATAAAGGAAACACAATTAATATGAAATTAACAGCTATACTTTTTGGGTAAAGACACCTCTTTCACTGGTAGAGTTATGGAAAAATTGTTAGAGGAATATAAACAAGAAATATTAACAAAATAAAGGCATTTAAGAGCCAATCCAGCTGGATTTAGAAAGACAAGTTTAACTTAAATTCTCTTAAAAAGAAACAAGGATAGCTGATATCACTACAGCATATATTATATTTAGTATACACCGGAATCAAAGGCAACATACAGTACTCACATGGGCAGAGAAATGGTTAATGAATAAGGCTTATGGAGTCATTTTAAGAAGCATAACCTCTGTTTCAGATGATATAAGCAGTACCACGAGGCTCCATTTTAAGACCATCAACCTTTCTATATTAGCAATTTCGGTTTTGATAAAAATTGGAGCAACAGAAACAGCATCAAAAGACTTTCAAGTCAACTTGAATTGGGCATACACTCATAAAATTACATTTAACTTTGACAAGCAGGAAGTAGGAAAACAAACTATACAGACATATCATATGGGTGATTCAAAGCTGCAAGAATCTACATATGAAAGGGATCTGGGAGTGAATGTAGATTGGATATATATGCTTGGTTATGTATAGCAAACGTATAATTTAAATAATGGAAACTTATTTTCAAGCTTTAAAATGCATTCACAGGACTTCATTTAGAATATTGTTTTCAGTCTTGGCTACCATAACACAATAAGGATATTATAGCCTGAGTGACATTCAGAATCATCTGAAACAGTTCAACAAATTAGTACATAATACTATAGGATATTAAAAAAATAAAGCATGGTAATTATATTTGAATTGTGGGATTAAGCTACAATGTCATGCTCTATTATAAAAAGTAAAAACTAATAAAATACAGTTACAACCTACAGTATGTTTTAAAAAAGACTGGATATCGATTGTGTGTTTTAGTTCAGGATTTATAGAAATAATCCATGCTTAATGATTTTAAACTGCCCACTACAGCAATAAATAAAAAAAACAAAAGGGGACTGAGGTATTGAGTTTTAAATTAAACTAATGAGAAAAGAAAAAAATCAATACACAAGCAAGATGGGAAAACAATATTTTAAAACCGCTTGTGAATCTTCTAGTTGCCCTGGAAACGGTTACAAAAAACAACACCAAATGCCAATACAGAAGACTATTGTAGGAAAATCATTATATAAAGTCTCTTTTTTAGTACTACTGCAATGAATGCATGCTTGTGACAGAAACTCATACATACAAAAATTTATTTTTAGGAAGCAACAAAGAATAGCGCGAATATTCAATGAATTTAAAACCTGGAAAAAAACTCATACACTAATAAAAACTCAAATAACTAGCAATATGTTGATGCTCAAATCAAGCACAACTCACTTATTTGGAATACAGGACACAAATGGAAGCCGAGTGAAAGTGTTTTTAAGACCTAAAAAAAGTAATTACGTACTGTTGTTATGTGTGGTTCTTGGTACACAGATATCATAATGCCAGCGAATTCACCTACATCGCTCATAAAGTATCTTGTTAAGGTCTCTGGATCTGTTAGCAACTCCATGAACACGAGGGGCTACTGTAGATGTCCTCCCTAATTGGCAACTTTTCCTATACTCTTGTAGATGTTTGCATGAATTTACCTCTGTCTCTTTTTTCAATGTCTCAATTTTTTCCCCCAATGTGCCACTGAAATCTCGTGCAGTCCAAGAAATGTGAACCTGGTGGCTATTTAATTTCAATAGCTGCATGGGAAGAGATCCCAGTAGCTTTTGGTACTGTATCTTACATTCTTCTGGGGCTTATCAGCTTATTGTCAGGGTTCTTCACACACAGATATCACATGTGTTGTGCACTGCCTCTGGAATTTGCTTTATTTAACTGCTAGGAAGTTTCAAGTTGAAAAGTTCACTATAACTTCTTCCTTTAAAAAAGCAGCAGTCCTTAAATGTAGAAAGGGAACACTGTGGGGGAAAATAAAAACTGCTAGCTGAAACGATTCATACACACAGAACACTATCTGTCATCTGCTGCATTTAAAACGTACAGGCTTTGTAAATATGAAAGTGTTTGAATACGTTGTGATACCTTTTTGTAAATGGTTGGGCTGCAAAACCTGCATATGGCAAATGGAATCACACCAAACTCTATCCAGTAATATACTGTATAAATCTCCTTGTGTCGTGAAACATTTTGGTTACATACCAATTACACAGTTACCTGGCTTGAAAATCTTTTTTTCTGAAAGCCACTTATTGCTTAGGAAGAGTCATGGCATGGTGCAGCCTATCGCAGAAGTGGATCAGCACAACGAGGAACTGCATCCTGATGGACAGAATCAGGGCCTAAATTGGGGTCAATTTTGAGAAGTGTACTCATTCCATATCTTTGGACTGCACAAGAGCACAGAGGAAATACATGCAGACATAAAGAGAACATGCAATCTCCTCACATAACGCACCCCAGTCCAATCCCAAGACCTCAGATCCATGAGGAAACAGCACTACCTGCTATGCCACTGCGCCACATATAATAATGATAACAATATTATGGATATGGATATGCAAAATACTGATTAATTACCTTAAATATTTTTGGCATGTTTTTTAGTTCAAAACGGATGTTTGCTTGCTCTGACAATATTATACAATATTATTTGCTGAAAATAAGTAAGTATATATAAGAAACAAATAAGAAGATAAAAAAGAAAACAAGATTATGGCCTGCTCTTTAATTGCTAGTACAGTAGGTCATTTTTGCACTAAGAAGTGCCTCCTGTTTTCACTTCCTGAATTGCCTGCACATGAGTGGCTCCAGTCACTGCTGAACCTGCAACTGGTTCTTGAAATACGTTCTCAATTTCACATAAATCATCGAGTTCCCTTGTAATGTCCCCTCTTAGTCTAAAGACAATCACTTCCTTTAACTTATCTGGAGAGTGTTTGCCATTAAACATTCTTCTGGAAGCTGACAGGATGTGATTTTTGTTAACATCGGGTCCCGTATAATTCTCCCCAAGTTTGAGGGGTGCTTAATGAAATTTTCACTTCACCCTGCATGTGAGGAATAAGAAGTGACAAATAGCAAATGCCTAAATTGTCTGGTATTGTTCCACAGACAGTGTATATTGTAAAGCTACTGATCTCTCCCCCTTGCTTGTGATGAAAGAGGGGGAAAGCAATCTGTTTTGTTTTTGTATGCCTAGCTGAAAACCGAATTTATTGCTGCTACTAATAACTCCTCCTTAAAATGCGTAAAGTATACAGCAATGAACCGTTCAGATTGCAAGCCTTATGTCAAAGAAACCTGATAAGATCGCAAGACCTGCTATTCAAGACGTTTGCTGCTACAGTACCTCTTGTCGTGGGAGCCAAGCAAGGCCAGTTCTCAGTTTTTAACCCATTGACATGAATTGACTGGAATTCAAGCCTCTGCTCCTTGAACAGACAACAGATTCTCGAAACTCGAACATGTCAGTTAACTCACTCTGAGTTGCTTTCATTGTGACTGCAATACATCACCAAAGGCAGCTCTCTGTCAATTTTAAAACCTGCCTGAGACTGTGATGTTAAAAATCATCATTCACATGATTCCAATATCACAATACAGGCTGAGGTAGTCAACAGGGGTTTAATTCCATTAACAGCAAGGATCAATATTTTCCTGGTTTAATCTTGTCATTATTTTCAAAAAGCTATCGGGTCTCACTGCCAAATTCTATTGCATCACAATGGAGATTACAACATACATAACGCTGAGCTATTCAAAAATGCACTTTACAAAATGTGCTTGAGCTGCCTCCTCAATGTCCAAACCCCAGAGCACTGTATAATAAATTTCTCAGTGAATCAAAGGCAGTGATTCGATTCTAGAGCTGTAATTTCCCATTAAATACAAACATACCAGTGATTTACAGTCCTGCAAAATACTTTCACGCAGCCTCTTTCCCAAACAAACAACTTTAAATCACATTGACAGTGTTACCAGTTAGGAAACGAGCAGTTCTGTAACTGCCACATGTACTGTACGTGGAAATTATTTTCATCACCTGCAGATTTTAGTGATGGTAAGAACTGCTGGCTAAACATCTACAGTATATACAAAGTACCTGAAATAATGAAACAAAATAACGAAGTGAAATAACTTCCACTAACTTTTTAAAACTAGCTAAATTCTATGTGGCTAATATCCACAAACAAGACATGAATGACATCATTTGACATTGTAAAGAATGAACAGAGCTTAGGAGTGTGAAAGGGGTCCCACAGTAGAGACGAGTACCGTACCCAGAGAGCAGTCGATTGTGTCTCCATTCCTCTTGTCCTGAAGCAGAGGCTCTGCACTGCTCTGAAGGACATTCTTCAGTGTGCTGACCCACTCCTCCATTTCCTGCTCGCTCTCTGCAGCCAGGTAGTGGTTGCAGCCATCCTGCATCTTCAACTCAAATCCATTCCGCCGCATTTTAGGGCACTGAGGGAGAAGAAAGGTGTCTTACAATCATCACCCCACTGAACACACCGACACTGCATCAGTGTCTT